TGCGCAGAGTACACGCGATCATACAACGAAATTACCAGAAGCATATAAAAACAAAAATAAACACAAAAAAGTACGAAAACCAAAAATCAATAGAGTATAACCACAAAATCCGAGTTGTTGGCCAAAAAGAGATGCCAACAAATTTGCTACTGTAAAAAAGGAAATGAAAAATAAATTGCAAAAACACAGCAATTGTACGCGCAGCAAACACATGTGTTGTTGTTGTATATGTATGTGCCTATATGCATTTTTTTCTTGAGTATTAATTTGTACTTGCTTTGTTTGGCTAGCGACCACTACACATGCTCATGCACACACGAATGCACATGAGAGCAGCGTGCAGCGTGCAGCATCAACCATTCAACATTTGTTCAGCTCAAGCATAAATGCGCAATTTCAAGTTATCGACACAGCGAACAGTGAGAGAAATCTGAGAAATGTTTTCACTTCTAATTTGGGTTAATTTCCTTGCAACACCCAGTGGTAATGGCAATGGCACTGGCAACAATGAGGCATGGCCGGCAACATTGTGTCACACAGACATCACTAGTACTTGTATGTACTCTCAACAAACTCAAATACACGCATACACACATAATTGCGCCTATAACATATAAAAGACCTAGCGTAAGCTTAAACGTCAAGGCACGCGTGTGTGTGTGTGTGAGTAGTTGTGTTAAATACTTTTAGCCAAAACAGGCACAAAAATCTCGACAGCCAACCGCAAACAGTTCAAACAACAGCTACAATGCCAATAAAAAAAACACCAGCGAAATAGAAAAAAGCTGAAAATAAAAGCAAAACACAAATACAAACACAAGCCGGCAGTGTTTACACCGCCACAGGTTGTTAATAGGCATAAGAAGCTACTGCGACACGTTTCAGGAAAAAAAACCAAACCGATGTAAATAAATGCGTTTACAATTTTAGCACACGAGACAAAGAGCTGGAAAAAATGTTAACGAAATACGCTTAACGACAAATACCAATACGCGCAACAACAACAGCGGCGTAGCAATGAACTTGACGCAGTACACGCACGCATTGTTGCCGCAGTTGTTGTTGTTTGGTGAAGAAAATAGCATAGCTGGGACTTGCACAATATAAATGGTTAACAACAACAATAACAGTGGCATTTGCTGATCGTCAAGTGCAGCTGCTGACTCCTTTACGGTTGCTACTACCAAATGAAGTTATTATGCCATAAAGGCACGCAACCAACACATTGTTAAAACGCGCATCGAAGCACAAGCGCAGCCGCAGTTTGTACGCTATTTGCTAACTTACACACACATAGGCACTTGCGCATAAACGCATCGGCATGAATGTGCATTCGGACACTTGATTGACATAGCAGCGAGCAAAAGCAAGCAATTATTACATCGTCGCAATTACGGGCAAAAATGTGTCGAATGCGCATGCGCAATGCACATTTGATAAAGGAGTTAGGAAGCCAAAGGAAAATTGCTTTAAGTTCTTGCAAGTGGTGTGTGAATTAGCTGAAAGACTAAGGCCACAAATAAAAGCAAGAGTGAAGAGAGTTTTTACTGGTGTGGCTTACGCTCCAGAGTGCCGTTAGAAAAGTACAACGATGAAGTAGACAATACAGTTTTCCCACAATATAATCGATATATATTTCTGCAGAACTTTGATGTCTCAAAAGTTCTCGTGCACTCTTTCGGCCAGCCTTTGGCATATACAGCGAACATGTAAATCTGGTTAAACTTGCATGACAAGTTGTCAGCAATGGTTTGAAAGTCTTCGAACTCTTATAAACCTATTTGAACTGACTCCGATGCTGCTTATTGACATGACACATATCCGCTAATTTTATATACAAAATCATTAAGCAAAATAATGAAAGCCATCTTAGAGCAGGGAATGACATTTTCATCTGTTATCTTTAGATCTTTTCAACAACCAAAATGATCGAACACTATTACTCCGAAATGGGAACCAGTAGTCTATATATCTATGAATACTTTCAGAACTAGACCATCAAGAATTCTCAATGCCATTTCTTTTTACCTACCCTTATATATTTTTTGTTCATTTAACACTCAAAGTCCCAAAAACCTTCCAGAGGAAAATAACTTTTTCAATGGTAATAACATACCAAGTACAAACCGGGGTCCCTATCTTTAACACAAATAATAAGAAAAATCAAAAATTGTAGAAAATTTTTAAAGAACGAATTATCCGTTAATAAGCAAAAACATTCATAACGAAATTACACCAGTTTAAGTTGAGATAGTGCCATTAAGCTTGTTATGACTTTTCTTTATTATCTGCTGCTCTCATTACTTTTATTATGTTAAGCACAGCTGCCTCTCCTGTGTTGCATGAGCATGTGTCTGTCATGTATATCGCTTTCAGGCAGACAGTCGACAGCAAAAATAACAACCAACGCGAGTTGGAAAAAAAATCTTAATGCAACGTAGTAGAAGTAGTAATGCAAGGTAGCAAGTCTGTAAAGCATGCAGCGCCGCAATGTGGCAATAAGGCAGTGGTGTTGTCTGACATGACAGTAATGTGCAACATGCTTGCCACAAGAGCAGCACTCCGCCAATGTGACAGTTACAGAAAGTAAGGTACAAAGGCACAGCACACACAAACAGCTGAGGTTGTTAACAGGGCAGCCAGCAGCCGAACGAGCCAAATTGTCTGCACTCCGTGTGGGAAAGTGAAAATTCAACACTACCAGCGGTAAGTTTGTGGGTGCATACCCCGGTTATTGTCTTGAATTTGGAAAATTTTAGCAGTTGCATAAACGTATGTGAACTTTTTGCATACATACATACTTTTACAAACTGCTTCGTTGCACTTTTATGCGAAGAGACGGAAACAAAAGCGTTGATATTCTGCTAATATTACCTTTTCACTGGAAATTTGCGTATTTATAGCTGTATATGTGCATAGAATTTGTTAAGTTCTTTTTAAAATCAGTTTTTGTCAGCGTTTGACGCTTTGGCTATGCGCCAATCGAGCAGTTAACCGGCGGTTATGTTGGCATACAGATTTAATGCTAATATGCGCGTTGCATATTAATAAAGAGATAAATTAGTTTAGACTAGGAAATGTTACGATTGAGTTCAGAGCAAGTGCATAAAAAAAAAAACTTAAAATATTGTGTCTGAAAAATATTGCTTTATGCTTGTAAAATATCAAGTAAAAGCATAAAAGTCTAAGAAGCTGATAATTTCTGTTCATATATATTTTGTTTATTTAGTTTTAGAAACACTTTTTTGTGAAATTTAAACACGAAGTAAAACTTTTTGTACATAAAAAAATTTTAACAAGAAAAAACGTTAACTTCGGTTGCACCGTTCCCAAAAAATACATATAATTTCATAAAAAGCTCCTAAACTCTGAATAAATACCAAAATTATTACTGAAATTACTTTATTTGAACAACACTAATTTTTTTGAAGAAAATTATCGTTTTCCTTGATATTTGAGTGCAATTAATATTATCGCCTGTCTGCGCATATGTCATTAATCTAGTGCTGCAAGCTGAATTCATAATTATATACTAGACGCAGAAATTGTTTAGTTTAATTTTTTTATTATGGCATACGTATATACTCGTATGATATTTATTTATTTATAAAAAACCGAAGAAAAAAATTTAAATACTTGAAAAACTTGGTGACGGTTTTGACAGCTCAGTTCGTTAAATATTGCCCCACACGCCGGCATGCGAATGCATCCGCTCGAGCATTTAGTAGTAAGCGGTCAACACATGCAGCACATGCTGAAATAACTCAATTTTTCTTCTCTCTCTTTTTTTTTGGCAGCTAGTATAAAACAGCGAGCGACGAAAGCGACGTGACAATTTTGACAAAACGACGCAATTCAAACGTAAATTTTTTTACAGCGGTATTTGAGGCTACTGAACCGGTGCTTAGAAACCAACAAGAGCGAGCAATAGTGAGTGCGCGAGAGAGAGGCGAAGTGTGGGGCACGTCAAAGAGTTGCCAATTTGCGGGAGATACCGTTTTGAGAAAAAAGTAAAAATTCAAAAACATTTGTGTTCAGATAATTACTGCTGCAGTTGCCAGTTTTCATAGCGGTTTATGGCAGACACACACACACATACATGCGTAAAGTGTTAGTTGTCATTTAATAGCTTCACGCCGCTTAAGTGGTAATATTCATAAATTATAGGATTGACCAAAACAACCGTCATCCTTGCGGTTATGTATATTAATTTAAAAAAATAAATAAATTAAAGTCTTTAACATTTAACGCAATATATAAATGAAGTAATATGTTAAAATACTTGGTTACTTTTTTCTTGGTTGATCATGCAACATAGGAATTCAACAACTTGGTCGTTTTTGGGCGGCATAATTGGTGCAACTAAGCCGATGTCTTAAGCCTTATGTTAATTGTGCAAAAATATGTCAAAATTGCGCAATAAAAGAAATAAATCGTGCGCTCATGTGCCCAGGTGGCGCCAACTGAAATGTCAGTTTTGCATTTTGAACGAAATTATCGCTTTGATTGCCAAGCTAATCATAATTATTATAAACGAAAATTATTTTAAATGCTACGCCATATCGGGTAGTGTGAATAATTATGAACATTGCGTGCGAAGTTATGCAAATAAAATAAATAAGTATTAAACTGATTTATAAAAATTCAAATTATATGATAACTGTATATATGTATGAACTGCTATAGCTAATAAGTAAGATTTATGATTGATTTTCCAAGCCACCGAGATTAATTTTTGTACTTTTTCGATTGTTTAGATTTAAAATAAAGCCCATACTTATTCTAAATTGAGATTAAAAGCATATTACGGATTTATCGATTTAGACTTTTTTTCTATCTAGACATATTTTATTCTATATTTCATATCATTTTTATTCAGAACGAAAGAAATAAAACTTCGAGTTTAAGACTCCCTTCAATAAAAAATAATCTCATTCTTAATTTCTCATTTAATAAATAACCCACATGCAATATTAAAACAGAAATTTAAAAAAACTCACCCTCAAAATCACAATGATGTATGCGCCGCTTCTCCAGCTCCGGGTTGTTGCGCCGATTGTAGCGTATCGTGCGTATCGTCGGCACAATCAAGTTGGACAAGTGCGCCGGCCCGCCTGCGCCACCGGCACGCCCCCGTCCACGACTGCCACCCAGGCCACCAACACCAGCGCCACCATTGCCACCAATACCATGCAGGCCGCTGCCCATATCGATGCCAGTGCCAACACCGTTCACGCCGAGTGTGGTCAACGTGCGACCGGGACTTAGGTGGTGCATGGCACCGCCGTTGGAGGAGGCGTTGCTGGAGTGTAGTGGTGTCATTGCTGACGTTGTGCCATTTGTACTCGGGTGTAGTGTCAAAATGTTCGGGCAAATACTTGAAAGTGGACGACCCTGCTGATGGTGAAGGTGTTGCTGCTGTTGTTGTAGCAGTTGTTGTTGCTGCTGTTGGTAAGGAGGCGGTGGTGTCGTGCGACGTGCTGTATGTTGTTGTTGTTGTTGTTGTTGTGCATTGCCACCAGTGGCCGCAGCTGCCGCCGCCGCTGCTGCTGCTGCTGCTGCTGCCGCTACCATTGAACTACCCGGACTTCCGGGATCTGAGCTAGGTGGCGTCAATGGCGGCACAAATATGTGTCGCGTTGACATTGAGTTGCCGCCGGTTGGTGCAGCAGGTGGGCACAGTTGCGGATTTGATTGGTTTGGCTGGTGGTGTTGTTGTTGTTGTTGCTGCGATTGCTGTGATTGCTGGTGCAGCGCCGAGTTCGTTAGCGGTGGTGGCGGTATTTGGTATTTGGGGTGGTACGACTGCCGAGATAAAAAAACAAAATAATAACGGTACAGAAAACGTGGAGGCGATAAAGATAATTGCATTTTAATTGCATTGTATTGGAATTGCGCTACATTTCATTTATATGTTATTATGGTTTCAATATCATTGATTATTTTAATGGTCCGCAATTATTGCACTGTGCTACAAATTTTGGAAAATATTAAAATTATTGATTCTTAAATAAAAAAATACTTTTTATTTTAATAAACAAAGTATTAAAACTTAGTTATTATTAAAGAATTAAATTTTTTTATAAATTTTTTTTAAATTTTTATTGACGTTATATTTTTATTTAAAAAAAAATTTAATAATATTCCAGTTAAATTAAGTTTTTCTTAATTTATAAGAAACAATAGTAATATAGTTATTTATAACAATTTTTAATTGTTGAATAAAATTAAATATTTTATTTTAGTTAATTTGTGGCAATTTATAAAAATCATTATAAAACTTTTTTTTTAAACGATAATTCTTAAAAATTTAATTATTTTTTTTATATAAAAAATTTAAAGAATTAATACTTTTATTTAACAAATATTTAAGTTAAAATTGTTTATATTTAAACAAAAAAAATGAAACAAATTTTCCGGTGATTTACAGCGGATTTCGAAATAATAATTATTTTATTTTCTTTTAGCAAATATTTTAATAATTTATTTGACAATTTGTATTAAACAATGTTGAGTAATATTTTGAATACGCTGATTTAAAAGAGTTTGAGGTTAGTTTTAGTTGACCGTTTGAACTATTTTTCAAATCTCCTAAACACTTCTCAGGTATTAAAATATTATGTAGCACAGTGTAAGTGTGGAAATATGTAACTTATGCCAGCTGCGCACTCACCTGATTGTTGTGCCAACTGTAGCCGTAGCTGGCATTCAAGTTGTTGTTCATAGTTGCATTATTATTGTTATTATTGCTCGCATTGCCGTCCAGCGTTGATGCCGCCGTTAGGTTGGTCAGCGTTACGGACGTGCTGATCGTCACATTCGCCGACGAGGAGGCCACGAGCGCGCTTTGACAACCGCCAACACCACCGCCGCCACCATTGATGCCACCGCTGCCATTGAGATAATTGCTATTGCTACTTAAATGTGGTTGAGATGCATATTGTTGATAGGAAATATTGCTACTATTATTATCACTGCCATTTAAGGCGCTATTGTTGCCGCCGCTACCGCCACCTGCGCTCGCATTGCTGCTGCTTAGCTCGGCATTGTGACTGCTGGCGGTGCTGCTGCAACGATTTGGTTGATTAGGACTATTGCTATTACTGTTGTTCAATGAGGCGCTGATATGTTGCTGTTGCTGGTTATGATGTTGCTGTTGGTGCTGGTGCTGCTGGTGTTGCTGATGCAGTTGCATGAGCGTCATAGTATCATCCCCGTTTGTGGCAGCGAGATCCGTTCCACCTAAACTCGGATGATGTTGGTAGAGGTGTTGCTGTTGTTGTTGCTGCTGTGCGTGATGCGTATGGTGTGATGACTGATGCTGTGGTGGCAGTTGATAATGCGCATAGTGTTGCTGTTGTTGTTGCTGTTGTGCGTGCAGGTGTGTGTGTTGTTGTAATGTCGGTTTCTCCGTCTTGATCTCCATGGGACTGAGCAATGGTGTGGACAGTGTCTCCAACAGCGTATCATCGATCGCCTCCATTTTCACTTGCGGCAACAAGTTGTTGCCGCCCTCTATACTAGTGCCACTGCCAATAAGCGCTAAGTGTGATGTGCTGCTTCCAGTCACCGCTGCCACCGTTGAATTTGAGCTGTTGTTGCCTAACATGAGCGCATTCTCGGGGTCGATATTTTGTATTGAGCTGGCGATGTCCTCCCACAGTGCCGGACGCTGGTAGGGATCATCGAGGTCAGCGTAGGGGTTGCAGAGAGCCTCTTTATTTTTGGTATCTGAAAAAAGTGGAGGTAATTTGTGTTATAAAGCGGTATTCGAGTGCTGTGTGTGCGCTTAGTTGATGGCTTTAATTAACAAATTCGAAAGAGAAGAAAAAAGTAAAAAAATTTCACTCAAGTCATAGTAAAGGGTCATAACTGTTCATATGTCTAGATACTAAGCAATTTAACAGGCTTCACTCGCTCATTGGAGCTTCAGCAATTTTTTCTCCTATTAATCATATGCCAAGGTAAATATTGCTAAGCAAATTTAACAAACAACATTAGTTACGCAATCACAGCAGCAGCACTGAAGGCATGAAAGTAAATTTTAGACTCCCTTTAAAGAGCTGGCGAGCCTCCACACGCCAATTCGGCGCGGCAACACTGTGCGAACTGCTAATAATAAAGGAAAACATAAACTTGTAGAAACCCTCATGCATATACATACATACATATATGTGCATATGAATAAGTAAATAGCTGTATATAAAGACAAAGATTGGAGAAAATAAGCAGACGTTTTTTTCCAGCATTGAGATTTGGTTTCAAATTTCACAGCTGAATAAATTATTTGTGACTTATTTGGTGAGCTGATGTGAGTCTAGTTGGTTTGCCGAGCCAAGCGTAGTTGTGGCGTGTGGTGCTGTATCGCTAGGTGGGAAAAAAGTCTTAAGATTATGCTTGGCTTTGAATAGAAATCAATTTTGTCGCAGTTTATTGAATAGATTTTACCTTTTAATATTGTTTGTTATTGCTTTCAACAAATAAGCAGTGTAACAGTGACAAAAATATGTTATAATGAAATATTTGCTTTCGACTGTTGACATTAGTGCTCACATAAGCTGTTTATGTGGTATTGATTTTACAAACGGCTTTGTGTTTTTCTTTTTTTTTCGCAAATGAGATTTGACCGAGTATGTATCTAAGAGTATTTTCTTTTGTGTGCCACCAAGTTCTGATTTGCTGAAAAATTTAAAAAATGTTGGGAGCAAATGAAATTTTGGTGTTTCTACAATCTTGTGCATAATAGCCTCCTTATAATGCAATACATCGAACTGAAGTAAAGGAGGTTATTCTTGAATGGTTCAAAAATGCTCTACGGATCGTTTTAGTTCGTAGTTTCTGAGATATAAAATTCCGCGAAAAACGTACTATGCCACAAAAATGGTATTAAAGTAAGGAAACTCATTCACTACGGCTGTATTGAAGCTATAATGTCCCTCACAGATGCATTTTTTTCGTAAAATGGTAAAAAATATATTTAATCTGATTTTTTTCGGTTATTTTGTATGCTAGCTATATGCTATAGTTGTCTGATTTGAACAATTTGTTCGGAGATTATAGCGATGCTCTGAATGACAATCTATTCCAAATTTCATGAAGATACCTTTACAAATAAGAAAGGTTTCCATATAAAGATTTGAGTTCGATCGAACAATTTGTAAGGCAGCTATATACTACAATGGACGGATATCGGCCTTTCCAACAAATGACCAGTGTTTTGATAAGAAAAGGACGTGTGCAAAATTTCAGATCGATTTCTCAGAAACTGAGGGACATGGTTAAATCGACTCAGATCATCACGTTGATCACTTATACATATTTTGTTTATAGTCTTCGATATTTTCTTCTAGGTGTTACATACGTCGTGGCAAACTTAATACACCCTGTTCAGGGTATGTCGTTCTTGAATGGCAGCTATGTTGAATAATAAAGTCTAATTATGTCAAAAATTGCTTTTCGGACTTAAAAAGTAAATGTTTCGTGCGGTAGAAAAGTTCCTTAGCGTATTATATACCAAGTTCAGTGAAAATAATTTTAAAATCTAAGCCTTGGATTCAAAATCAACCTATGCATCAATCGGAAAGGATTGCAAGTATTGGTATATCATAATTTAAATATGCGTTTAAGTTCACATCGCAACCACAATACAAAATTACTCTGACAAACTCACCGAATAAATATTCTTTATCGGCTACCGCCACCACCGACGCCGCAGCATTAGTTGCACCATAGGCGCTCGCTATTTCATATGCCACCGCTGCGCTGTTATCATATGCCGTATATGTGTGCGGTGAGGTTGAAGTGTCGGCGGGTATATCACTGGCAGAGGCTGATGAGGTGGCAGCTTGTCCGGCACCTGTTGAGGATGCGGCTGCTGGTTGTGGCAGTGCGGCAACTGTGGTTGACGCTGACACCACCACTGTGGCCGATGCCGATGAATGCTGCACATAGGCGGAATGCTCATGATTGCTACTGTTGCTACTGCTATTGTGTTGTTGTAATTGTTGTTGTTGCTGCTGTTGCCAATGATCAAGCGTATTACTGCCGCTGTGATTACTTTGCGGTGAATACACTTGATGCTGATGCTGATGCAAGTGCTGGTGATGATGCTGATGATGGTGCAGGTGATGGTGGTGATGATGATGCGGCGCCGCGGATAATACTTCAAGTTCAACATCTGGCTCGATTTTGTGCAAACGACCCATCAGCTCATGCCGATAGTCAAATTCGGGGGACTGAAAGGCAGGAGAATAAAAATATGTTATATTATTTAAAATACTGATAACTAACGGTAATTTATATGTGAATAATTAATATAGAATGAAACGGGTTTTACTATATACCCTAAAGACTCTTATTTTTATATATGTGCTTCAGCTCATTAAGCAACAATGAAAAGAGTTGTCTCCAAGCGCAGACACTAATTCCCATGCCACATGTTGCACCATTCAACATCAGTAATAAACAGGCATTGTTGCCACATGAATGTAGGTAATGTGCACAGCAATTAATGCAGCCGCTGCTTTTGCCGTCACTGCAAATGACCGTCGCTTAGTGGCAGCTGTCGGCCGGTCAGCTGAGGTGTTAAATTTCTTGTTGTTGCAACATCGAAAAGATAACATCCGCAGTGGCAACACATGCGCGTCGCGTGTTCACTGACTGCGTCATCCATGCCAATATCGATATTGCAGCCTACACCATGCAACAACTTGTAACAACATTAGCAACAATATTGCCAGCATTGCTGTGATTGCCACAGCCCCAGTGGCCAACATGCGCCGAGTTCATTCATTCAGTGTTTTTATGGCCGTCCGCTTTATTGACAGCGCGTAATTTGTTGTCGCCACTTCTCTACCTTACCACTATACGCTGTCACGCAGCAGTGCGCGCTTGACTTCACCTGCTGCGGCATGCAACGGCGTTCAGCTGCTGCTTGGCGTTAAAGTCATATCGGTTTATTAGCGCCTTCTTTCGCTGATTTTATTTGCTTATTCAGAAAACGTCTGCGCGCACATCACGCACTCGCCCGGGCACCAAGCACATAACGCGCCGCCGATCGTAACGATGCTCATGTGGTAAGCGCTCATGTGGCAGCCAACATGGCTTGTATCTCTATGCGCGCAGTGGCAATAACTATAATCATAACACAAGAGTGGTGTTAGCGCAACAACAACAAAAGCAACTAGTTCATTATAACAGTATGATTGTGTGCATATGCTGTAGCAGCATCCGCTACACAACCACACACACGCGCTTAAAATACATATTTGTATACAAATGTGCCACGCGCTGTAAATTATGAGCTCTTCATTTGGCGTTGTTGCTTTTGCTGTTGCCTTCGTGTCAGCGCTCTGCAAGCCTTGCATACATGCATCTCTGCCACGGTGGTGGTGCCGCTTTCATTTCTTACTCATTTACTTTTATATTCTTTACTTTATTTTTATTGTTATTGTTGTAATATTCATTTATGATTATATTGTTGTTGTTAATTGTAAATGATTTCCAAAGCGCGCTTCGTTGTAAATTCTCATTCTTATCTGTTCTGTTTGAAAATTCTTTATGGTCGCCTAAACGCGTGCCGTGCGGCATAAACGGAGCTAGAAGTCGAGAGAAGAGAATCAAGCGCAACTGCAAAGCTGTGCACATTCACCGACACATGCACACATGCCGGTTGGTGTGCCTCCAAGTGTTGCCGTATTTTGTCAGCAATCAAGTAGCGCAATGATAGCCGTTGCGCTGTAGCACTATGGTATCTTGGAGTTGCCTCGTTGCTGTGCACACGGACGTGCATTTCCGTTGCCAGTATGGCGTTGGGAACTCCATTTGATTATCTCGCTGTACAATATTAATTAAAATGTTTATGTCTTTAATGCATTTCTTGACATTTGTGACATAGATTCAGGTAATTAACGCAAATGAAAATGAGTTCGAGATGGCGCAAGCAATTTTTCGAAACATAGTTGTGTAAATGTTGTGCGAGATAAATTATTGAAGTTTGCAAATTCTTGTCGACCCAGATATCATTAAAGTGTATCTTATATATAATAAATAAAATCAATTAGAGGCATGTATAAGGAGGCTGAAATTCCAATAAAGCAGATTTCAGATGTACGCATGACTGCAGCGAAATAATTATTTTTCATTTTAGAGTAGCGTTTTTGATACTTATATATGGCATGCGATTTCTATGAAATGGAATTTGAAAAGGCTTCGGAGCTTTTGTTGTCTGTCTGATGGTGGTGGTGGTGGTTGTGGTGGGCTTGGTGATGCGTGTTTCATAACTTTAATAAGTTGAGTCTGTTATTTTAGTTTTTAAGAGCTTCAAATAGTTATCTAATATAAACACCATCATTTCTAATATAAGTTGTCTTCGAGCATAGAAGTGTAATAACACACCTTCTTGTATTTTATTAAACAAAGCATTTTTGCACAGGTGAAAAAGCATAAATATGTCAGAAGATATCAAATTATCAAGATTATCATATTGTGGAGGTGATTTATATAATTTAACGAATTATTACTGAGAATAATTGGAATAATATTTAGTGTAGAAATTTTTACTTAAAAAATATTATACTAATTCTTTTAAAAAAATCCATACCACTATTAAAAACTAAATGAAATTAAATTATAAATGATGATGCCTGGCATCACTTCAAGCTTTAAAATTCAAACTTTTTTGAACTTGTGAAGTTTGGTAAATTTTTGATCATAAAGAATATGCAAATTTATTCCTATATTGCCGTGTTTTAAGCTAAAGTGTAAAATAATTATTCAGCAATTAAATCAATTCACGTCCTGCAAACATAGCTTTTATTACGAATTGCAGTAGGCAAACTGGTTTATATTCTCTTAGGTCCGCGCCAAGGACAACCAAACCATCATATCAAAATATATTCTGAGTTTGGAAAAATATATTTGTAAATAATAACTGCTGATAAATACGAATTACACTTAAAAATATTATGTAGGCAGTTACAAAATAGTACAAAATTCTTCAAAACAAAATTATAGTGATGTTAAAGAAATTTTTGAACAGAAAATGGCTTTAAAAGAAATATATAAGAAAATTAAAGTAAAGTAAATTATCATGGGATTATTTGAAGATCATTCGCTCTCTCACTTGATAGTCTATGTTCAATGTGACTATTTTAGCAATAGAAGTTCATATAGGATTTTCTAAGCTCTCTAATTCTGTTATTATGAAACATTTTAATTTTTTGGTAAGATAATGAAAAACCAACAAAATCGATACAGCCAGTCACGACTTTTTTACATCAAAAATGGCTCTAAAAATTAATATTATATTGTAATGGAAATAAGTAAGAAAACTTAAAGTATTATTCGCTTTTTAATAGAATTGTGCCTACTTTTTTATGTCTAGATTTTTCCAAATTTAAAATTTATATTTAAAAAAAACTGTATTTTAAGGCATTAAACGCTTTTTTGCATTATTTACTTTAACTTTTAAAATTTCTTACATGAATATTAAAAAACTTTTTCGTACTAGTTTGCTTTTACAGACTTATAATTAATATTCATATAAAACTCATATTATATATGTATTTAAATAATATTTGTAATCAATAAAAATTGTAAATTCAAACATCAGTGCATTTTTTTAAATCCTGTAAATTTCGTGTTTGAAAACTCACAAAATTCAATTTATTCAATTAAATTTCAAACGTGATACTTATATGTTTTAGAAAGCAAGTTTCGCGCTTAAGTCTTTTGTGCGGTCAAACAATGGAAGCCTCCGTTTATATGGAGATAACTTTTATTCAGTAGCATAAACTGTCACTAAGGATATGCGATTTAAATAAAGCCCCAGCGTGTTATATATGCAAATATTTTATTTTTATGAAATCAGCGTTTTAGCTACCGTATTGCGGTTCTCTCCCTTAGGTGCACCATACAATATAATAAAAATCCAGCAAAACATTCAAAAGAAAGCATTCTGAAATCAATTTAATACAGCGAGGCAAAAACAACGGCAATTTGTTCGAGTGACAAATTGTTTAGCTTGCAGAGGGCAACCATAAAAAAAAGAGCTATAGAAATTAGTTGATTGACACAACAACAAATTGTTTATATTTCTAAATGGCACACATAGAAGTTTAACCCGCCACAAGTTGTATAGTTGTCAGGTATACTAGCTCATACACACATACACACACATATGCCTGTATGTATTAATTTACATGCGCATATTTATGATTATTAGTTTTGTTGCATAAATTTATGCAGCTGCGTCAGCGTTTGCGATTTCAACACCGAACAAGTCGTGCTGACCCAGAAATTGTTGCGTATTGCGTTCGAAACGCCACTAAGCCAACCAATTCGAAGAAAATGAATTGAGTTAAGTTGCATGTTTATTTTAATATTTCTAGCATTGCAACAATAGTTTTCGTTTTCATTTTCATTTTCATTTTATTGTCCATTTTTGGCGCATAACTACTTTTAGGGCATTGTGGCAATGGTGTTGGCAGTGCTGATGTTGTTGGCGGTGCTGGGTACTGCTGCTGGATGTCCGCATAATAAATTCTTACACGCCATTGTGTCCAACGCAAATGCTCAAGCGTTGCTGCATGTCTGCCACACGGCGCCGCCAGTTGTCCCAAACACTTTGCAACATAGTGCAAGCGCACATTTGCTTACTGAACTTCTACGCAAACGCTACTGTTATTCGTCCCGGCTACTGCGCATGCACACACACATACTCGCCTCGCTGTTGTTGACTCACTCAGAGCTTAGAATAGTTTCGTTGAGCAAACGAATATTTATTTCTGCACCAACTCAGTGAAGACAATGGACAAGACATTGGCGAGCAAAAACATGGAAAGACTACAAAGACAACAACTATAATAAAAACAATAATAATAGCAACAACAAATAAAATAATAGCATAATAAAACTATTGCGTAAAAGCCACGCGCAGGCGCGCACATTAAGTCGATCATTTGCATGCAAATAGTGGAGCAGTCGAACAGCAGCGCGACAACAACAGGCACAAAGCATGCTCAATCGCATAGCTGAAGTAAACAGCAGCAGCAGCAGCACGGTAGCATTGAAAGAAGCAACAAATCTCTTGCAGATTTGAGCTTGTCAGAAGAATTGGCAAAAAGTAGTCGGAAATGGCGCGCGGCAATAAACAAGCAATGCGCATGGAGTTCAACATAAAGCCGAGATACCGAAAATGTATTTCAACTTGCACACACATACACTTGTGTGTATT